CTCCCCCTCCCCCTCCCCCACCAATTGTCACGCAGACCCCAAAGGCTATATATCTATCAATTGGAAAGCCATAAATAAACGGTATCTCGATAAAAAAAAAACATATTCAAATAAAAGCGCCATTAATTAGACAAAAGTCTAATTAATTAATTCAAATCCCATTTGCAAATAACATCAAAGGGAGGTCGGACATTGATTGAGAATTGAATTTTGGCATCTAATCCTGGATAAGGACGAAGGATCTAACATTATTTTCCCCCAAAAGAACCCAATTACCTCAATGATCTTGAAGTGAGGGAATCAGGAAATACGAACATAAGGGTATTAAATGAAAAAAAATGATTCACGTTTGTTAATATTCCACAGATTCTCAAAAAAACGAGGTTTCTGTAACACCAAACTTGAAGAACATATTAAAAAAATTATTAGACAGCTCAAAGTTGCAGTATCTAAATTAGTGAACAGCTCACCTATAGAAACCCTTGACAAGCCTCGCATTCATGCTGAGTGCAATTGAGCAATCGCTTTCAGAGGACGCGTATCGTTCTAATTTGTATAGAGCAATAGCACGATTTGTATAGAGAAGAGGATTTTCTGGAGCCAGTCGAATAGCTGTAGTGTACTTCTCTACGGCATCCTCATACTTTCCCTCCTGAAAAGAAAATACCAGTTGAGGTGATGGCAAAGTCTAGATCTACTTCCCCCTTCAATGCTCAAGCATAATGTAAATAAGCCCCCAAAGCGTCAAATAAAAATGATTTCCAAGGATCTTTGCAGACAAGCTAACATCTTGAAACTCTTTGATGCAAAATTTGCATTTTGAGCACCCTCATGAAGAGCATTATCTGGGTGAATTAATTAGCAATTTGCGGAGAAATAAATAAAGGTCGGAGGCATAATCACTAGGCAGAGATCAGATCACTTAATGAACCCATAAAAATCGTAAAATTAACTACTTTCGATTTATCATTTCACGCAAAATGTTTATCTACCTCAATTTTGCTCTTAGTTTGATTATGGACATGAAGAACGTTAAAAATATGAATAAATATATTTAACCGAAGCAGAGATTGAATCACCTCTATAGAAACGAGTTATCCTCCATTTAATTTTTAACGTGGCACTTTATGCCATAGTCGATGTTGAAGTATAATTTCCACAATTATCTATTTTATTGGAACATGCAGCAACACCTATCGAATCCGTTTGAAAGAGGGAAGACGTAGTACCTGTTATTCTGAACTGTACGTTCATTCCATTGCGAGAATGGTCAAGAGTGAAAGAACTGGGCTCTAGGTCCTTGAGTGCAAATGAATGATCGATTGTTCTAACTCAATATTTTACTATCTACTCACTAATAATTAAGTAAGAATTACTATGAACAAAAGCAAGCATTTTCAATGAGCCGCATGAATAAAGGACAAATAACCTAATCACTTTAGTGTACATGATTGTTCGGCCGGAGGTTTTTCTTCAGTAAACGCCTAGCAACATAAATGATCAATAACCAATCCAAACATGGAATGGAATCCTCCAATACAATCTGAGAAGAACTTCGCAAGAATATTAATCAATAAAAATAATGAAAAATAGAAATCAAGCAATATCGAAAATTTCAATAAATAATCAAAGAGAGTACAGATATAAATATGGTGAAACCTATCACAAAAAGAGGAGAATTGTTAAGAAGTGATAAAAAAATGACAATCTTAATAAAAACTGAAATGGTTTATCTCAATGACGTCTAGTACGAGCTCGATGACTTCTGATCGTAAAGTAAGGTGACAGGAGCATCATACTTTTTGACTGGTTATGTCATTCAAACCGTGAAGTACATCAAGAACTATGAAATTCGTTGATAAACGCCGGTTGATGAAAATCTGAGGCCTAATGTAATGCTACCCATCGAATAAGGTTGGCAGTGATGTACGGAAAGACAATTGCTCACATGGCGACTGATATATTCCGGTATCAGATAATGGCTAAAGTTGCAAATAATATAAAACTATTTACCAAATCACAATTCCAAGAATAATGAGAAGAACAAATTTTATTCCAAGATAAATGATCAATAACAATCATTTGATAAAATCATATTTAGCAAAGAAAATTGCAGACAGATGCCCATACAAGGTACACGAAATGAAAATACCCATTTTCTGTTTTGCTTTAAAATGAAAAAATAAATCTAGACTCAAGAGCTCAAAATCTCCACGAATCAAACATAATTGCAATAATTTTTCATTAGCCATAGGCAATAATATATACCGTAAACTTAAGGTTTGCAAGTATGTCATAGAACTCAATAACTTACTTTAAATAATCTATTTCCTTCATCCTTCTCTACCTCAGAGAGTTTCAAACGCCTTTCATTCTCCCATTCCTCATCTGTCTCACTTTCGCTATCTGATATTACACTTTCTGGTACATCGATTTCCTCTAAAGCCTTATCTACGTCGAATTTGTCCCAAGCCTTATAATCATAGGATCTTATTCGTTCGTTTATTTTATTATCTAACTAAGTGACCGGTTAGAAAAATAAGATAAAAACCTTTTTCTTTGAACTATTTTTCTTCTTTCTTTTCTTGTGGAAAATATTTCGAATCGGTGGCAAATTTTCATCAGCAGCTAATTTACCCTTTAATCTTAGGCTTTTTCCTTCAACTTCTGATTTCCATTTGTCAAAATCACCCAAAAAATCTTTTATGTCTTGGTTATTTTCTTCCATCTGCCTTCGCATCTCCAAAAACTTGTTCGCATCCATCGTTAACTAAATAAGCGAAACCCAAACTGTATCGTAGGTAGCGGCAGCGCGTGTGACCTTCAAAATGATAATAAAAACGTTCAATATATTATAGCAGTTGCTTTTTGCTATAATTAAGCCAAACATACGATAATAGATCACTATACCTTTATTTGTAATTTAGAGCCAAACTAAAAATAAATATATCTTTGTATTGGAAATATTCTGGTACTTAAGAACGGAGTTACATAAGACAGGCCATTGATTATGTTCAATGTTCGATCTGCATATGTTATGAGTAATTATAAATTTGAAATATTTAAATCAATTTAGTTAGATTGTGCATGAATTTTTCAATATTAGAAAAAAAGTCATATGCTATTATATATGTAGATTTTACCAACGCAGTTTCTTTTATCAACTTTTGCAGGCATTTGAACCAAGCTAAATTTTTTAACTCAGGAAAAACTTTTAATTAAACAAATTATTTAAATTGACAAGATTTATAAACAAAAAACCTCAGGTTGCGATCTATCGAACAATTATGTTCCAAGCATGTGAAATTTTATTTCTAATGGGATAAATCTTAACAAGAAATTAACAGAAGTGATTAAAAGGCATATAGCAAAGCTCGAAGAACATCAAAATACTAAGGAGGAATTTGCATATGATTTATATATAATTAGCGAACCCTCAAAATATTAAATATTTCATTTCTTTCAATTTTTCAATAAAATGTCTTTTCCTTGTCATCTACGGATCACTGTTTACTTCGTCAAAGTTCACCAACTTCAATGTTTTCATCCATGTAGAGCATTAAATCATTTTCTCTGAAGAGAAAAAAATTGGCTTGGGACATGGGAAATTTGATTTCCATTTGGCTGGACCAAGTTTGAATTTTACGTCTATTGGATCCGAATATATTACATCCAGACTGTCGTTTTGATTTATATTAACAATTGTGTTTCCTCACATTTTTAATGTTTACCACATTTTGGTATTTTGAAAGTGGTTGGTTAATAAAATGCAATTACTTTAGAAGTTAAGATTTCTAGCACAACGTTTTGGTGAAATAATTAAGATCCATTTACTTGAATTAACTTAAACAAATTATGCAGAACTGGGAAAAAATTGTTTCAGATTTTAATATCTTTAACCTACAAGATAGTGATTGGCATGTGCCGAAGAACAGCCGACATGTTTTCTAATACCAATGGATATTTTGCGGAACCTCGATGATTTGTCTTCTTTTCCAGTTTCCAAGTAAACTTTATGTAGGCTATGAAAATGCTTAAAAATCCCCCCCCCCTAGTTTGATATTTAAAAGCATAGTTGGTACATCATTTATATTTCATGGATATATCGTTGTTGGACGGACAGAATCCGTAGTCAGCAATCCTTTCTTTCGCAATTATAGTTTTTTTGTAGTTTCACATAATAAATGAAAGTACTACAACTTAATCGTTATCGCGTTGTCTTCGGTCCATTTTGAACAACGGATAAAAAGGTTAACGCCACTACATTACTATCGCCGAAGTATCCACGACTCCTCAATCCCAATATTATTACTTAATTACTTTAAAAATAGATAAATTTACTTAATTCAATGACCCTTTAATCTTCCATTACCTAGATAATTAACAATCAATTCATAACTTAAGTCGTTCAATAAAAATATTCCTTTATTCTAAAGGTAACATAATATAATGGAGGAGAGGAGGCGACTGGAGGGAGTGTTAGGAGAACGCAGTTTTCAATGCAATAAATAAAGTTGCGAGGGAAACAAATATTCAATACTTTAGATTTGGTCAGATCGTCCCTCTAGTATCGTACATAATCCTCAAAGTTGTCATCGTATGCCTGCACAAACAAACCATACAAACAGTGGCCAATCATTAGCTTCTGTTTGTTTAACCTAATCCACCATCCTGATCATGATTAAGCTCCCTGTGTGAACACTTTATCCGCAATATCCTTACTGAATAAGCGTGTTCCATGCTGTACGTCAGTTTTCTTCATAGCTGGGCTATAGCTTAGCTAGTTCTGGGAGTCTACTGTAGCTGGGCTATAGCTTAGCTAGTTCTGGGAGTCTAGCTAGACGTTGGAGAGTCTGCCACAGAGATTTCTGAGTCAGTCAGGCTTTAGGGAGCAATCCGCTACAAGTCTACAAAACAATATACATAACTAGTGTAGCAATCCTCTACGAAGTCTAGGTTCATTATTAACGGCGGACAACCGCGGTTTCAAAGCACAGTTCAAAGATTGGTGAGTAGATTGGTTTTAAGTTTTCACTAGTAATCAGAAATCGATGTAAAGAACAAGAGTATGAGAACCGAGCCTTTTCATCACAGATCTTATAATCTTCGTTTGGTGATAAATTTAACTATTTTTCCTAGTAGTGATAAATGTGTTCATAAACATTATGCTTTATTAAAAATTTGAAAATGTTCCATATTGTCATTGGAGATGACTGTGAGAGTTGATGATGACTGGAAAGATCTGAATTATGGAAAATACCCTATACAGTGAAGCGATGAAAACCGCTGTGAAAGGAAACTTGCATGTACTGGAGAACTGTAATAGTTTCAAGAAGGCTGTTGTGGCTGGAAGAAAGCACGCGACAGACGATCTGATTCCAGAAAAAGTATTGGAGCATCCTGACATCACAATTAGGGCCTTGTCCATACAGTTAATTGAGCATTCCAGCTCTTCCACGAAGCTTGCACTCAATGAAGACCTTCAGCACTACGAATTCATCAAGCGATGCAAAGGTCGACTTCTCACAGGAAAGGCTCATGAAGATAGTCGATCGATAATGTTGGAGACAGTTATGAGCTGAGTGAAGCACTTTACTAAAGTCATGCAAACTAGATTTAAGTCAAGCTGTCATGATTTACGGGTGTTCCCCAAGCCTCAAGAAGAGGTTTGGTTGAATACACATGGCAACATGGGAATGATGCTGACCACTTCAGTTGCTAAGCTCTGGATAGGGCACAATGGTTGCCAGCAATAGGCCCAACGACAGAGAAAATTCAACAAATTAGCCTACACTATCTATTTCCCCTTCAAACGCCCTAAATCTTAACCCAAGGTCAATCGGAAAAGACACTGGCCACCAGTATTACAAAGACCCATTTAAGGCAGTGAATAAAAGCAACTTCTGATATCCTTTTCAAGGAAGGCACAAAATCCGTTTGCTCCAGGTCGTGCAGGAGTTTAACTGAGTCTGCAATTAGCGCAAACGGTAAATTATTAACGTAGAAATGCTCAACCAGATCGATTTCAAGTAGCTATGTACAAAAGAAAGCAAATTTGAAAAACGTCTGTCCTGAAGTTTTATTATTAAATTAAATAAGGGCATAGAGGCTTCAGGCTACCAGACCACTGCAACTTAACTAACCTCCGGTAATCATGGTTATTTTTGATGGGTTTAAACCACCACTTACTACCTCTTGTCTTTATTTAAACCATGTAAAGCAACATGTACCTCAGAACAATGTCTATTCAATGTTTGGTCAATTTTATTGTACATATTATTTACACAGATTGAGGTGAAAGATAATGAATTAGAGAAAGAAAGACTTGAGAGATTCCTGCAGTCCTGTTGGCATCTCTTGCAGTAACCTGTCCACAGCCTGTCGATCTGAATCCTCCGCCAACATCCAAGCCACACTGAATCTAGGAAGGTTTGCCAAACTCTTCAATCTCTCAGCTTTCTCAGTCGACGACAGACTCGAACTGGCAACCATTGCTCTTACAAAACGCCCCAAACAGGAAGATGTGAGACTACCACCAATCACTGATTTATAATTCTGTGGTTCGAGAGAGCACAAGTAGTCGATAGCCTGAGGACTTAGACTATCGCCAAAAGGAATTAGTTCTCTTAAATCTCGCTCGAGTTGGAACCAATTTGCAGGAGGATCTTTCAGCAATCTTGGATTAGGACTCTGTGAAGTAGAACCATCAACGGAAGTTGTTGATTTCATCGACTTCTGTTCAGATTTCACCGAAACTTCCTTGGAACCAACTTCTGAGATTTTAATTCGACGCAAATCTGAGGAACCGGTGGCTTCGGAAATATCGATCAGTTTGTAGAGAGAATTAATTGAACCAGCACAGAGATCTACTTCTCCCGTCCAAGCGGAGAGGTCTTTCAATGCCGCTGAATTTCGTGGTTCAATGTCCAGAATACGCTTGAGGTCACTGATGGCTTCTTCAACTTTACCGAGTGCCTTTCTGGCTTGCGCCCGTCTAAAATAATCAACCAAACGGTAAAAATATACAAATCATATATGACAATGAGCTTATAACATCGACAAGGACCTCCAAAGCTAAATAAAAATAAAGCAGGGAAACAATTACGGCCTTCCTATATTAAGAACAAAGAAAAATAATTAAGCTAAAGGAAAAATCTAGGATTTTACTATTGCTCTAAAATGAGCATAGTTCGCTTTGTTTTGAAATTAAATGTGTGAGTCAGAGTTATTCAAATTAGAGACATGAGCAAACACTTCATGTCCATATTTTGAAGACTTGGGAACAAATTTCTTTTCCTTGGTCAAGTGCAAACTACGTTTGCTTTACTCTACACAGTTAGTTCATATTTTACTTCAACTGATTAACGAACGCTTTCAGGAAAAAAAAGCTAGCAGATAAATAACTCTAAAAAGAAGGAAATTTGAGTATTACAGGATAACTGACTACAAGGCCATTGAAACACTGCAATTTCTACGAAGGCTGCTGTTTTGTCTCAGAGAGGTGCATCGTGTTAATATGCAAGATAAAAACGAAAAAGAATGCTTAAATCAAAATTAAATAAATGCCATTTTTCTGAAGTTCTAAAATATATATCAGTTTGGAATATTTATCTAAAGACGATAGGACGAATACAGCCGAACTAATCTGAGCGTACGTAGATCGCCTAATGTGTGGCTGTAACGCGGAGGCCAACGGCATACGAACTTAATGAAACTCCAGCTTCACTAGCTCTACCTTCTCATTCCCCCATCATTTACTGGCAGCCCGTTATATTGGGTGCTCATGGGGTGTGCGATAGACTTACCTCCACGTGGTGCATCCTGAGCAACGTTTATTCATACGGCAAAAAAGTCTGTTAACTGGCAGTTGACTTCTCACTTCAAACTACCACCACCTCACTCTATGCCATATTCGACTATTTCCACAGTACTCTTCTTACCTTTTTTCTACCATTGTGTTTGTCTCTTACATCTTTGAAACACTCTTCTGCTCCCCCCTTCTCGACTTTTTTTTCAATTTGATGTTCCTTCTCCTCTGTGAAGCCTGAAGTCAAATAAAGGGCTAATGATAACCATCAAGACGCCTGCCATTTTATATAAATAAATATTGGGCGCTCATCAAATTAAACCTACAGATTAATTACTATTGACAAGAGCAGGAGTACTCAAGATTAGCACCCCACCGATGGGAACGAGGATACTTTTATGACACTTTTGACGTT